TCCAGACCCCCCAAAATCTTTTTCATTATAACATTGCCCTTTTCACTCTTATACTCTCAAGAGTATACAGTGGAGTCTCCCAAAGGCTATATGATTTGTGATATTACAACAAACTGAATGCAGAAGTCAGGTGGGCATAATCCAAGGAGGATTGCTTGAGCCCAGCCTAGGCAGCACAGCAAGATCAGTCTGGGCAATACAGACTCCATCTCAAATAACTAATAAGTAAAAGTAAAAACTTGCAGAAGCAAATGAGAATTGATAAACCAATATTGAAGAGATGTGCAAAAAATGTAACACAATGCTGTGTGATATAGTCTGAAAAATTATAGTTATTTTTCATTCTTAAAATATTCCACATGTTAGCATGTAATAAGTTTGTTATTGTCTTTATAGGAATTTGTATCTTTAAATGTTTCACTTTAATTTCTAATAAAGAAAATATTGACAGATATAAACCCTATAAACAAAAGGCTTTATTTATTTATTTTTTGGTTTTCAGTATTTTTTTTAAGAGTATAAGGGGTCCTGCCAAGCACAGTGGCACACACCCACAATCCCAGCTACTTTGGAGAATTAAGCAGGAAGACTGAAAGTTGAAGGCCAGCCCGTACAACTTAGTGAGACTGTCTCAGAATACAAAACAAAAAGGGGGCCAGGTGTGTTGGTGCACTCTTGAAATCCTAGCAGCTCAAGAGGTTAAGGCAGGAGGACTACAAGTTTAAAGCCAGCCTCAGCAACTTAGTGAGACCCTATCTCAAAATAAAATTGGCCGGGGATGTGGCTTAATGATCCGTGAGTTTAATTCCTGATACAAAAAAAAAAAAAAAACCACCAAAACCCCAAAAGGGATGTGAATGAAGCTCAGTGGTAGAGTGCCCCTGAGTTATTGGGATGGGGGTGGGAGGTGGCAGGGAAGGAAGGCCCAATAAGCACATGAAGAGATACTCAACACCATTAGCCATTAGGGAAAGGCAAAGCAAATCCAAATCCACCATACTCACTGGCTCACTAGGGTGGCTATAATAAAGAAGACAGATTATAACAAGTGTTGCCCAGGATTTAGAGATATTGGAACCTTTATTGCTGGAGGGAGCATAAAATGGTAGAGTCCCTAAGGAAAATAGTCCAGCAGTTCCTCAAATGTTTAAGTGGAGACTTACTGTATGACCCCAGCAATTCTACTCAAGAGAAATGAAAATATGTGATTCCATAAAAACCTGGATACAAATATTTATAGCAGCACTATTCAGAGTAGGCAAAAAATGGACAACAAAAGTCCATACATTGATGAATGGATTACAAAATGTGGTATATCAGTATGATGAAATATTTTTGCTATATAAAAAAGAATATAGCATTGATAGACACTACTACATGGATGAACCTTGAAACCATTGTTAGGTGAAGGCAGTCAGTCTGCATATTATAATCCCATATTTATGCAATGCCTACTAGTTGCCTAGGACTGCTAATAATAGGTACAGAATTTCTCTTTGGGGTGATAAAACATTCCAAAATTGATTGTGGCATATTTGTACAACTATGAATATTTTTGTAACTATGAATATACTAAAAACCATTGAATCGTATTCTTTAGAATTATATGGCATATGTGTTAAATCTTGGTAAAACAGTTAAAAATATATTGTAAGAATGAGTTCCTAGCTTTAATAACTGGAATCATGATGTCACCATTAGCCCAAATTGGAACTACAGGAAGCAGAGATGAGAAAAATGAGATTGGGACATACACAGTGGCTGTGATGAACACACACTAAATACCCTAGGCTGGAACTCTGGAAAGAGGATAATAATGCAAATGAGCTATGATTCATTGAGCATTTATTAGGTAGCTGGTGCTATAAGTATCTTGTTTATGTAAACTGCCAGGTAGGCTCTATACATACACTATTTATTGTTTCTGCTCCTTCTCTTCCCTGTGTAAACAAGGAGAGGTGGGCTCTTACTGCTGCATCCTGATACCTACAACTGGCAGAAAGATGGTGTGGAACATTCACTGGATGAAAACAAATATAGATCTTTTAACCGTCCTAACAACCCTCTGAGGTAGATTTATGTTCCTATTTTACATGATTTTCCTAAGACCACAAAGCTTATAAGTGGTAGTGGTCTATGAAGTGTCACAATTTCTCAATTTCTTGGTATGGATTTGAAATGAAGAAAAGCAGTAAAGGTAATATAGACCCAATTTCTGCAAATTTATAACATATAGGAATACCTAATTGTATTGGTGTCAGTGTAATACAATAGTAAACAGGACAAAAATCACAACAAAAATGTTTAAATTTTTTAAATTAAAAAAATACATTTAAAATAAAATCCATAAGAATTTGCTCACATCCTTGCTAGTAAGGAAGAGCTTTCACAAATATTATCATCGAAAACCCCGACAATGCTCCTAATGGGACGGTACCATTACTACTCCAATCAGCCTTTTGCCTTCTACCTAAACTACACTCCCCAAATTGACCTCCACTTTACTAAAAGCAACTGAAGGCTTAGTCCTCATTGTACTTGTATCAGAAGCTTTTGACACTTTGATCCTTCACACATTTTCCCTTGGCTTTCAGGTCACCCTTACTCTGTTATTTTTCTCCTACCTCTCAGTTTCCTCCTTTGTTACTTCCTGCACTTCTGTATGAACTTTCAACTTCAGAGCCTCCAAGGCTCAGTCTTTGCTTTTCTCTATGCTCACTTCCTGATTATTCTATTGGTTTTAAGTACCACCTATGTTATAATGACTCTAGAATTTATATCTCCAGCAGACCTCTGTCCTGAACCCCAGTCTCATACATCCAACTACTAACCTGACATTTCCACTTGGCTGTGCTATAACCTCCAATTCAACATGTGCAAAAATAGTCTTTTGATCTCCTTCTTACCCCAATTCTCAGTTGCTCAAGCCAAAATCCCTTATTTTAACCTTTGACTCATCTTTCTTTCACCCCATATCTCATGTATCATCCCATATATCAGGAAATTTTGTTGACTCTCCTGAATTTCAGCTAGGAATATAGGTGCTTGACTAGTATGTGCAAGGCCCTGGGTTTGATCCCCAGCAGAAGGAGAGCGGGTCTCACTGAGTTGCTTAGGGCCTTGCTAAGTTAAGTTGCTGAGGCTGGCTTTGAACTTGAAATCCTCCTGCCTCAGCCCCCTGAACTGTTGGGATTACAGGCATACACCACCATGCCAGGCTTCAATTTGGTGTTTTAGACCTGTCATAACTGAATCTAAAACAACCTCTAGTCTCCATTATAATCTTGTCTCCATTATCAGAGATGATATCTTTAGGCAAAATCTTCTTTTGTTGGGTTAGCACATTGTTTATATGTGCATACTTTAAATAGAATTTGAATATTTCTTAAAAACACACTTTGAACACCTGTAGGCCCTGGGCAAGCACACTCTGCAGTTCTGCTCCCATTTCTTGCGGTAGGTTTAGCTTCAGATGCTTCACACTTTCTAAGCCCTTGAAGCACCTGTTTGTCACCTCACAAAATTAGACAGTGTTTTTCAAACCCAACTTGCATCTTGGGGCCTCTTTAAGTAGGAATTTCCCTCTTTCCAGCAGGCTTCTTCACTCTTCCTAATCAGAAACTAATACAACTACTCCTTGAGGGCCTTTCTGACCCTATCTCCCCTTCCACAATAGATGGTTTCTTTTCCTAAAGCCCAGGGCAAGAAGCCTAAACCCTATGCTGGTCTGCCATGTTGAAATCCCACCTTTCAAACTGAGCCCCCACTACTGGAAAACCAGTGAAATACTTCAGGCATAAAATACAAGGGTCATCAAAAAGCTCAGTAATCAAGATAAACTTTTTTTTTTTTTTATTGGGGTACTGGGGATTTAACCCAGGAGCTCTCTACCATCCTGACTCCTTTTTATTTTTGAGACAGGGTCTCTCTAAATTGCTGAGGGCCTCACTGAGTGGCTGAGGCTAACCTTGAACTTGAGATCCTCCTGCCTCACTTCAAATCCCTGAGTCGCTGGGATTATAGGCGCGTGCCACTTCGGCCGGCTTTAATGAGACGTTTTTTTTTTTAAAAAAAATATTAATGCAAAAAAAATCCATGACTAAAAAATATCAAAATCTAAAATAAAGGCCCGGCCTCCTGTGAACCGTATTCGAATTTCACCGTAGGATTAAAAGACCTCGAACTAAGTATCCTGTACTTCCTGCTTGTATTGCACGAAGTGCGAACAAAGGCTGAGAAATTTCGGAGGAGCCATTCTTCCGATCACCCCTTGCACCAGAGCAGCAGCACGGCCTGCTGCAGCACCTGGAACCCGGAACCCGTGCTTTAAGAAAAGGCTGGAATCTGAAGGTTCTTGTGGGGGCGTGTGCATCCGTGCAAGTGTGTATTACATCTGTGTGCACGCTTCTAATCGCTTCTCTTTCCAAGTCCTGGGTCAGGACAGGACAGAGGTTTGCCTCTTAGTATGCACACAGAACTCGGACTTTGGACTAGCAAAGACAGGGGCAATTTGGTTGCATGTGGGGAATGGAAGCTCAGGATTTCTTCTTTGACTACTGGCAGGTGTATCATAGCTCTTCCTGGCGCTTCAGTATGAGACAGGTACACGCCGCTCATTCTGAGGTACCAGAGGTACCTAACCTATATTACCAGACCATTTTAAGTATCTGCAGGACCCCTATAACTGTCCGCAGTAAAAGAGCGAGAAACTAAGACAGGAAAGGCCCCCAGAAAGCGCGAAAGAAAGGACAGTGGAGGTGGAAAGGGAGGAGGAGCGTCTCCCCTCGTTCCGTCCCGCCCCTCACCTCGGCTCCGGCCAATGGTTGCGTGCTCCGAGATTTAGCCCCGCCCCGCCCCGCCTCCTTCGTTCCGCAGCTCCGCCCCGGCCGGTAATAATTAGGCTGCGGGCGGGGGATGCCGCGTCAGCGCGGGGCACTGGCCAATCCTAGGGCTCTCCTAGGCGGTCACGTCATAGGCCGAACAACCAAACAGAAAAGTTTAATAAACAGCGGACGGAGGGGCCGGAGGCTGCGGGGCGGGAGCGAGCTGGGGTTCGGCGGCCTCACCTGTCCCCATTCACCGGCGGCGACCGGCGGCGGCGGGCAGCGCGTCAGGCGGAGAGAGCCGCCGCCAGGTGAGGAGCACGGCCGGCAGACCAGCGGCCCGGCGCTGCCCCTCCCCCGCCCGCTCCCTTCCCCCACCGGCCTGAGGCGCGGCGAGGTCCGCCCCCGGCCCCTCCCGGCGCGGGCGAGCCGGAAGCGGAGGGCTGCAGGCGGGCGCAGCAGGTGGTGGGCCGGTCGTGGCCGCGCGTTCGCTGGCTCGGGCTCCGCGTTAGCCAGGGCCGCGTTAGCCAGGGACGGGGCCCGGGCTGGGGCGCGACGGGCTCTCGAGGTCCTGGGCCGGCTTCCCGTCGGGGGGCGAGCCGGGGTCCAGGACCCTACTACTTGCGGGCCGCGGAGGCGCGGACGCCAACCGCCCTGTCCCCATTCCGAGCATTTGGCGGGTGGGGGTCTGGGACCCCGGGCGTCCTCCGTTGCGCCCCGCCCTCCTCTCAGTCGGAGGTCCTCTTTGGAATGTTTTTCCACCTGCTGGGTTTTTAGAAACCCGTGAGGGGGTTAAACTGGAGCATGTCAAACTCCATTCTGTGTGCGGAGGGGTTCGGAAGTTAATCTTTCTTTTCCCTGGTCTTGTTTGGGTTGCTTAGAATTCAGAGTTTTCTTTTTTGTTCTTTTGAAATAGTATTTTTCAAGTCTTTAAGTGTAGTTGCGATAAACAACGAAGAATATTGTGTTTCTGATAATTTTAACTTTATTTTAGAATACTCTGCTAACCACACAGTTAAAACTCCTAACTTACCTTCACAACTCCAAAGTTGTTAATTGGCGTGAGGAAGCTGGGACCTGGGGTCACCTACAGACAATGTATATTAAGTTGTTCAGCGATAAAAACTGAGCAGCCTTAATGGTTTTGATCCTCCGAGAAGAGAAACGAGATTAAATTCCTCTTGACACCAAATTCGGAATTTGATTTTTTTTTTTAAATGTAAAATACTATAAACTGTGTGTGTGTGTGCGTGTGTGTGTTTTCATCCTGTACTGGGAATTGAATCCAGGGACACTACCACTGAATTAAACATTGCCAGCCTTGTGTATTTTCTATTTTGAGACAGGTTCTTGCTAAATTGCTCAGGCTGGTTTGGAACTTGCAGTCCTACTGCCTAAGCCTCCCGAGTCGCTGGAAATACAGGCAGGAAAATACCATAAACTTTTAAGATGAGTTATGTAATAATCACGTCGCCAGTTTTAGGGCACTTGCAAAATTAACATATAGTCTCCGGAGCATTAGTGAGAATATTTTGTGGAGTGTACCTATTTAAATTTCCAAAACAGGTTTTCTTAAGGGTTTTTTGTTGTTGATGTTGTTTGTTTGTTTTTGTTGTTTGGGGCTTTTTTGTTTTAAAAATGTTTTTAAAGAAGACAGGGATCACAAATGTACAGGAGGAAAATTTAAGAATTAGTGGATTTATTATCTTCATTGTAGCAATGATTTCCTGCGCAAGTATACATATGTCAGTACATCACATTTTTACCCTATGCAACTTATTGTATGTCAGATATTTCTTAAAAATTAAGTAATCAAAGCATATTTAATATCACAATTCTTTTCCCTGGTACATGAAACGACATAGTATAGAAAGATATACTAAAAATGCATGACTCCTCCCCTTAAACCAAGAACTGGAACATTACCAAAATTTGCTTCTGCTTATGAGTTTCTATCTACCCTGTAACCCTGCTTCTTCTTACTGAAGTAAACATAGTACTTGCATGAATTTTCTGTTTATCATTCTCTTGCTTTTTAAAAAAAGTAGTTTAATCACATACTTGCTGCAAACAATTTGGCCCTTTAGTTTTCTTGTCTTTTAAACTTCAGCATATTAGTATATGACTGTGGTTCATTTATCTCATTGCTTTATAATACTCTTGTTAACTTTCCATAACTCAAGGGCATCTAGATGGTGGTGTTTTTTATTTTGTTTTGCTTTTGACAGCTGTGCTGTATGAATATTTCTTGTTTCCAGTACGTGTTGCACAAGTACAAGAGTTTTTCTAGAGTAATAATAAATATAGATTGTATTAGAAACTTTTAGATAATCAGAAGTAGATTAAACACTTAGAAATAAAATGAATTTTAAAAAGGATTCTCTGTTTAAATGAAAGATCATAACCATAGTGATCAGTTCCTAGTTGAACATTTGTATAAGAAACCAATATTCCTGTTCATCATTATTAATGAATCTTTTCCTTAAAAATTACATTATAAAAAGTTTGGCACAATTTGATATCCTTTTTCATTCAAAAATAGTGTAGTAGAAAAAACACTGCATGTTATGTAAAATAAATTGTTCTGTCTTACTTCCCTTGCCTCAAATCTCAGGCAAGTTACTCTTAAAAACTTCTTTACTTTTGCATACTCTTGTAACAAAAGAAACTTCCTTAAGTATATCTTACCAGATTCTTGTGGACTTTAGTTAAGGGAAACACCTGTCAAATGGCAGAGCCTTTAAGGGAAAGCATTAAGACCAAGGTGCTACTCTATGCAGTCACATTGTGTGTCTTTGGAAAAGAAAGAATATGTGGTATTTCAGGATTTATAATCTCATATAAGTATTTTGGAGGTTAGATAATGTCCCAAAGTGTGCTTCTAGTGCAGTCTTTGTCATTCTAAGACACTGCAGAGACAAATGAGGGAGCAATAGTTCCTGAATTTCTTTTTTATCTATTTATATTTATTTTTTAGTTATAGGTGGACACAATATCTTTATTTTTATGTGGTGCTGAGGATCAAACCCAGTGCCTCATACATGCTAGGCGAATCACTCTGCCTCTGAGCCACAACCCCAGCCCTCCTTAATTTCTTAATTTCTTGTGTGTGTGTGAGAGAGAAACATGCATGTATAACTTTGAATAACTTGTTTTTATTTGAAGGCATGAGAGTAGAGCATTTTTATTATATGTAGCTTACAGATAAATATCAAGATGTTTTACTTTGTTTTGGTAGCGCTCTATTGCCCTGCTTTTTTTTAAAAAAAAAAAAAAAAAACCCCTCATTTTTGTATTTGGTTATAAGGGCAGTAATAATTTGTGTGTTCCCTATTTCCACCCCAAGCTTTAGAAGGAATAGAAAGATAACAAAAGCTACTCATAACACCACCATAGATGACTATTTAACATTTTGTCAGGCATTCCTTTGGTCTTTGAATTTTTTATTTCCTAAACTAAAAGTTAATTTGAAACTGTGTTAGGATGTCTATATCTTCAAAACTTATTCCAAATATAATTTGTCTCAATACCATTGTTTTATATAAGATGATAATAGTAGTCATGTAATTGGTATCTTTGCTTTAACTTTTCCCCTGGCTGCTCCTCTGGACAACAATAATTTTAAAATATGTATATTAGATTATCATCTTCCCAGGCTCAAACCCCTTCTGTGGTTTTTAAAAACACAAAATAAAATTCAAACTCTTTATTGTGGTTTGTATACACTTGACTGGTTGAGCCAATAAAAATAGTGCAAACTACACATTACAAAAAGAAAGAGGTTAAATATATTTTATTTAACCCAAAAGGCAATGTTTTTACATATGATCAATATAAGAAATTATTAATGGAATATTTTACTTTTTTTAAAATTGTTTTTATAATCTGGTGTGTGATCCACTTACAGTACATCTCAGTTCAACTAGCTATGTTTCAACTGTTCAGCAGCTACATGTGACCAGTGGTTACCAAATTGAACAGTGTGACTCCAAAACTATGTTGCCCTGCCTGTTTCTTAGACATCCCTCCTACCATTCTCACTCTAAGTCCTACGTCTTTATCTATCCTGGCCTTTTCAAGATTCTTGAGTATGCCAAACTTTTTCCCTTAAAAATGTTCCTTCTTCCTGGAGCACTCAGTCATATTTCTCTCCAGTAATCACTCCTTCAGAGATGGCTTTCATTAACTACTGATTACCCTGCTTTCTTTATAGAACCTGTCATCTGAAATAATTATTTGTTTTTTGTCTATTCCCTGTTCAAATGTAAATTACTAGAGGACATGTTTACCACTAAATAATCATGTATTAAAAATACAAATTTTAATTCAGGTACAGAATGGTTCATGCCTGTAATCTCAGCAACTTGGGAGGCTGAGGCAGGAAGATCACAAATTCGAGGCCAGCCTCAGTAATTTAGCAAGAATCTGTCTCCTTAGGGCTGGAGTTGTGGCTCAGAGGTAGAGCACTCACCTACCATGTGTGAAGTCCTGGGTTCGGTCCTCAGCACCACATATGAATAAAATAAAGATTTTTTAACAAAACTCAGCAATTTAGCAAGAATCTGTCTCCTTAAAAATAAAAGGGACTGGAAGTGTAACTCAGTAGTAGAGCCTTCCTCTTCCCCCCTCCCCTTCCTTCATTCCCTAGTTCTGTTTTTAAGGATTCTTGATTAATACTTTCCTTTTATGGCTTAATAGTTACCCAATTATTGCAGCCCCATTTAAAGAATACTATTTTCTTCTTTCCCTGAAATAAAACCACCTTTTTCTTACAAAAATGCACATACACTTGGTACTTTTTTGCTTATTTAGAACTACTAAATTCCGCCCTGCCAAACCCCCATTCCCCAAACAAATTCTTGGTTGCTGGGGATCTGACCTAGAACTTCACTCATGTTACTCAGATATACTAACACAGAGCTACTTTATATATATACACATACACACATTTATGTAATTAATATATTTATGTATTACATATAATTGTATATATTTAATAAGATATATTATTTTAAAAATTCTTGCAGTTAACAGTTTTTATTGTTTCGACAACGTAAGCACTTGCTTCATTTCACAGTGTGCTAAGTGCTGAGGATGCAACTTTGAACAAGACAGGGTCTTTGCCTTCATGGAATTTACAGATCAACAAATAATTTTCAGATTTTGCCAAGTGCTAGAAAGTAAAGAAATGAAAGGTACTAAATAGGTGTCCTGAGAATGTCTCTCATAGGATATAATATTTAAATTGATTTATACTACCAGTGTGTTTGAAAATTTCTTTATCTTCCCCAATCTGTTCAGAACATTTTTT